AAATTATCTCTCGAGTGTTTTTCTTTCATTTTTCAAATGATAGTATTATATTTTTTTTTTATAAAATGGATCTTTATTATATTTTATTTCTCACTCTACTCCATAAATAAGGCTAGAAGGGATACATTTGACTATCACATAGAAAACCCAGACAAATATAGGAGTAGGGAGAGAGAAACCACGAAAAGGATCATTACTTTCTCACTCTCTTTTTATCAGCAACCATGTGGCAATGGCATGGGTCAGCTATAGTTCCGCCCAAGTCACCAAGGCCCCTCAAATGCAGATCCAAAATCCGAAATATTATATTTTGGACTGGTATCTAAAAAATATTATTATATTGAATTAAATTTAGATTTAATTTATATTTGTATCAGCCCTATTGGGTTTTCATTCAATACGAGCCCACATTGTTTTCTTGATTTCTGGCCCATCCACGTCCTCGCCTCCACCGCTCCAGCCAATTATCATATTCTTGGCATTCATCCTCCTCGTATTTTGATTTCAATACATAAATAAGTTCAATGTACACTTGATAAATATTTTAATAATTGTTAAAAATGGGTTTTAATTTTTTTTTCGGCAAAGTAGGTTTTCTATGCCGTATGCATAGGCTTCATACATTCATAAACTGTTCCGTACAATTAAATAGCAAAGTTGCAGACAAGAAATGAAAGGGCCAGACCCCATGTGAACATTCTAAGTATGTAAAGTTCTTTTTTGGCTAAAATATAAGCATTTTCGTTGCACTTTTTAGGTACCCAAATGACTTCGCAGTGAGAGAGACTCGCTATTTTAAGAGTGCAAATTACAGACTAGATAGAGCTGCAGTTGCTTCCACTTCCACAGGAGATGCTTAAGGAATTTTTATATATCTAACCGATAATAAGCCCAATTCCTTCAGAAGCATTATCTAATTAATTTTGACTGATGGGAAAGTTGATTTAACCCAAGAAGAAGCATGAGAAACTTCTGTTACGTTGTTTATGAATTCAAAGTTTCCTGAGGATTGAAATTAGATTTCTCCAAAAAGTCAAAACACCATCAATAATCTGAGCATGAGCAGCAAAATAATTGTAAGTGCCTACCTCATCCGGACTATCCATTTCCATTGGCTTCGTCCACAGAATCGTTTTTTTCCCCCACAAAAAATACAACCATCAAAGCAAATAAAGAACCATAACTAAAATAAATAGCAACAGCAACAAATTAAGACAATGTTTGGTATGGATGCGTTGCACGTTTTTCACTATGAGTTTTTAACATTTTCCTTAAATTCATTAAACTTTTTAAATTGTCTAAAACTCATCATGTCAGTAAATTTTATTTTCTAAAACTCACCTTCCGTTAACAAAAGTGTCCATGTCAGCATAAGACCAACTTACCCTTGAATGGCGAGTTAGAGGAAAAATGGTCTTCTCAGTTTTCAATTTTCTTTTTTTTTTTGCTTTTTTAGTGTTTTGTTATAATTTCCAATGTTTTTTATAATTTCTGTTTTTTTCTATTTTCTACAATTTATAAATTTTCCTGTATTTTTTGTTATTTGTTTGTAATTTCTGTGTTTTTCTATAATTTTTGGTGTTTTTTCTACAGTTTTTATTTTTTGATTTTGTTTTTCAATTTCTATAGTTTCTATAATTTGAAAATAATTTTTATTTTGTTTGCAATTTCTAAATTTTTTTTATATTTTTTGTAATTTCTATGTTTTTATATATGTATTTTATATTTGAAAATATTTTTTGAACTTTTTCCTTTTTTTTCATGTTTAAATATTAAAATGGTAATACATTAACACTCATAGTCTGTTTAACATTAAATTAGTGACATGGTGAGTTTTAGACATTTTGAAAAATTGTGGTGAATTTAAGACAAATGCTAAAAACTCATGGTGAGTTTTAGATAACTTCCCTAATTATTATACAATAATGGAATTCTAAAATTGAATTTCATATAATACAAAACAAAAAAAAAAGCATAAAACAGTAGAAAACATTTGTACTTGATGAACCTGAAACAAGATGTAAGCATAAGCGCCTGTATGGTGATGATGTATCATTGAAATAAAATCACAATAGACACAGAACACCACAATACCAAATACCCACTAATACGACTATGATGATCCACAAGGATGATATCCAAAGATCCAAAACTGTATATCATCCTTAGACAAAAGGGCAAAATCAGGAAAACAACCAACAGACTCAGATAGATGCCCTGCTTAGTTGCTCTATAGGCTGCCTTGTTTGCTTCCCTTCCAACCTAACTGAAAGAAACCTCCAAACCTCTACAGTCTACACAGAAGCTCAATATCCTTGATGCAGTAAAAGATCTTGATCCGTTGGGAACTCACTTCCTTGCTAAGATATAAACAAAAAAAAAAAACTAAGCTGCCTACATTATTATTCGATCTTCACCTGAGACAGGTTCAATCAAGGCACAAACTTGACTGCTTCCAAATACTGCTAAGTCTTCCGATTAAGCAGAAGAAACTGCCTGAACCCGACCAAAATAAACAACCATATATGCAATCACCTTAGAATCATTTTGGGCTATTATATCAAGGGGGCATTTGTTTGTTGGATTTTGAGAGGGGGAAGGTTGGTTAATGGGATTGTGAATCCTATTGATCAAGAATCCTATGTTCTTATTTTAGATTTATGTGGGACCAGGGAAAATTTATTTTCCTAAATATCCATATTCTTGGTGGAAAAATTACATCAAAAAGGGGTGCTAACGAGAATCATGCATTTTTTTAACTGAACTGGTACTTCTAGTGTTTGAAAATAGATAGAAAGATAGGTATACACACATTAATCAGTTTGGGTAACTACTGGTTTTTTTTGGGGGTTAATTGAAAATCAAATAGGTTCTTTAGTTTTTCAAAAATATGTTTGGTTAATCAAAATTTTCAGTTTGGTTTTATTGATTTGGTTCGGCTTTTCAGTTTTTTATGAGCACCCCTAGCCAGCATTTGTTTTAACCCTTTTTATTTTATTATAATGGTTATTAACTTTTTAAAATAATGTTTTTAAAATCGACTTGGGAGCAAAACTGCATTTGCGTTTTGCTTATATCTTAGCAAGGAAGTGATTGGTCGGGTTCAAGTTAAATAGGTCAAACTATAATGTCATAAATAAAACAATATAAAATATTTATATATTATAAAATTATAAATTAGATGAAATGTCAGTTATATTTTGTTAATATTAACACTTTAATAGAGTTAAAGGGAAAATCTATAATATGGGAAATACATGGTATCTAAAGAGTTTTGACCAATCAAAACCCATTCATGAATTTTGATAAATAACACCTGATTGGCTACCACGTTTATGATTCCAGTTGATTGGTCTCTGGATGAGCAATTGGTAGGTTGATTTGTAGGGATTTACCCTACCTAAGCCGATTTTAGGGTTTAGGGATTTACCCTATCCAAACCAACCCAATGAATTGGATTTGGTATAATCAACCTTGAAACCAAATTTGCCTTAAAATAAACCCCAAAACAATTTTTTGAGGATGTAAAAATTTGAAACTAAGTACTCATGGTTACAAAAAGCCATTGTCTCACTTGACCATTGAATTACTTAAGTGATTTGATCATTTATCATCATTTTAACATTTGAATATGTATAATTAGTAATGTAAAAGGTAATATTTATAAAATTTAAATGATAATAACAAAATTTGAACCATATATTAGTATATTATGATAATGTACATATTAAATTACTCAATTTAATCAATAAATATGATATAAGTTTTAAACTATATATTATATTTTATTGGAAATCATGTTTTTAAAGAAGACGCCATTTTTTAAGGGGAAGACTAAAGAAATAACAGGTTCCGTGGGAAGGATCATAGATCCAACCCCAAAACTACCAAAGCTAGAACCGACCCTAAAACGGATCTTCATAAGGTATGTTATAGTTTCTAAAACCTAGAACCTACCCTATCCTGCCATGGAATTGAACCAAATCGACCCATATATACCCCTATTTTTGAATGAATCGAATGGTTTTGATTTGATGTATTCAAATTTGAATTAATCTTTTTAATATAATTTATATTTATATTTTTTAAATGCAAAGAAAAGCTTTTCCACCCTAAAATGCAAAAGAAAAGCTTCAACATTACCGTGTAAGGTCTTTGTAGTAAGAACAAGAAGGGAAAATAAGGAATTGAGAAAATTAATAAATCCGATTTGACACTATTCATGTCGGATCCAATCCGATTTGACACTTTTGAATTGAATTCAAATCCTATGAGTAAGTTGGATCTTTGACCCGATTCAACTTGCTTTCTTTAAAAATTAATAAATTATTATAAGAAAAATAAAGTATACTAATTTAAATAAAAATAAAAATAAAATACAAATAATTTTAATTATTTTCATCATATATATACATGCTTTTTATAAAAATAAACAATATAAAAAAATTATAAAAAATATATTTATAAATAAATAACATATATCAAATCAGATATTCTCGAATAAGATCATATCAGATCTTCTCGAATCAAATAGGGATGAATCGAATCTAATACGATTTTCTGATCGAATATTATTATCTGATCCGAAGATCCAAATAAGGACGGCCCGAATTCGTTCAATTAGGATTGGATCACGACCCAATCCATTACACCCCTACATGGCATGGGTAGGAGATCCGGATTGGCATCACTAGCCGCGTAGGCCATCCAATCGGGTTCATCGGAGATGATAAATGGATGATCCAACTCGTTGCTCCCACCTACGAGTCATGATCTGAGTATGTATTTAGTATCGTTTATGTTTATTGAATAAACGTTTCTACTTTATTTGTTGGTAAAATCAAGAAATATAATAATCGCAATCGTTTATGACAATTGGATACCACTTTAGCGTAACAATGAATAAACACTTGGCGATTTGCGAAAACTTCAAAAAATAACTTATAAAAATGGGTGACATGCGCATAAACCAAAATTCACTTTTTATATTTTCGCAGAAAAACAAGAGAGAGAAAATGACGAGATGGCGCTTATATGGTACGATCAATATAGGTCTATGAATAAACTTAAACGGTATGAGGTGTATGTGCTTCTGCGTACCCACTCGGCGCATTTTAGATTATTCCATCCACGTAATCCATTTTCTTTTCTCACGCCACCCCATCACCACCACCACCGCCTCCGCCGCCGCCGCCCCCACACCCAATGACAACCAGAACAGCTCACACTTCACCAACCCTAACCCTAACCCTAACCCTACATCTACAGAATCCATCATAAGAAGCATAAGAAAGAAGAAAAACCACCATGGCTACCGCTTCTTCATCCTCTGTTCCAGAGGGGGACCCAGAGCATGAACCTTCCTCACAAGAGCCTCAACCCTCACCCCCACCCCCAACCACACTACCCAAAAAAACTCCTCCCCTCCCATGGTCTCACCTGGAGACCGTACACCTCATCCAAGCATACCAAGAGAAATGGTACTCCCTGAAGCGCGGCCAGCTCAAGGCCAGCCAATGGGAAGAAGTTGCACAGTCCGTCGCTGCTCGCTGCGGCTTCGACGAGCCCTCGAAGACAGCTACACAGTGCCGCCACAAGATGGAGAAGCTCCGCAAGCGCTATCGCTCAGAGAAAGAGCGTTCCTCCCCTTCTGCTTGGCCCTACTTCAATCTCATGGACCTCATGGAACGTGGCCCCCTCCCCATCTCTGCTCGTCCGATCCCCTTGACTGAACAGCGCAACTCCGACTCAAGCGACGAGGAGGACGATGAAGACAACGACGAGACTAATAAATCTCGAAGCATCAATTACATTCTGCGTAGACCGCCAACAGGGTCTCAGACCGACAAGACGTCATTGCCTCGAAAGTGGAATGGTAGCAGTAGTGGAGGAGGGCTGGGGGTTTCTAGGTTTTTGAGGAATCCCATGTTTCGGAAGAGGCGAATGTCGTTCGACATTGACGAGGACGGAGGAGAACCGCTGTCGGAATTGGCTTCAGTGGTTCGAGCATTCGGAGAAGGGTTTGTTAGGATAGAGAATATGAAGATGGAAATGATGAGGGAAACAGAGAGGTATAGGATGGAGATGGAAACCAAGAGGACGGAGATGATCCTAGAATCCCAACGCCGCATTGTTGATGCCATTGCCAAGGCCCTTGGCTCTCAGAAGAAATCCAGGAAGAATCAAGAAACCTGAAGGGTATTCCCCTCTTTTCTGAATTTCCACATTTTTAATGGTCTTTTAACTTTATATCGCTCATGTAACGTTTTTTTTGGACATATAAGAAGTAACTGTTCAATTCCTAATTTCTCCATTATATTTAACATGTTTTGTATAGTAAGACTGCTTGCAACACTTTTTGAATAATGTGACTGCTTGAAGGTGCAACAAAACAGTTATCAAGTCCATGTCAATTAGTACTATGCTATTATATTTCTTTGATGTGCCTTTGATACCTTTCATAAAGTCCTGTAACCCCAATACGAAATTGGTATAAGATATTCTTCCCCTTCCAATCTGGTGGGGTGATTACTCTCTTTATAAATGGACGGATTCAATCATCATGGAATGGCAGGCACAAGAATGAACTCCTGCAAAATTGTAATTCAAAGTACTGAAATGAACAATCATACAGGTAAAGGTGCAGTATGCATGTATCCTTGCCTTTAAATGTAAATATTTGTAACATGATTTTTAAACTGCACCATATATGGCCTTGTTATCTGAGTGGCAAATACATTTGTAGTTCTTACTTTCTCAGAGTTAAATTTCATTGCTTGGTGAGATTATGTGCACTTTAAAGTTGTAACCAAAGACTCATACAAGCATGCATATAAGCTTTGTTTGAATTGCCAAATATTCCAGACTTCTCTATGAAGCTCAACTTCTTGCATCAATGTACTTTGTGAATGTTCTGTATCTTTTTTCTGCTGATTCTATTTCTACAAGATTCTTCCATTTCAGGCCACTAAAATTTGTTCAAAGACAGTTGGTATGATTTATATTGACAATCTGATCTTGTTTTTCTAATCCATGGAAGTAATGGCTTCTTAGATTACAATTATTTCATGGAGCTTGGTTAGGTCTATTACTTGTCCCTGTCAAGGAAATTAGATTCTAACTGGAAAGGATATTATTTCTCGTGGAATTGAAATAGTGAGAATACAAATTTTCTTTTAAATAAACCCAGGTACTGGACTGGAAGGTAACTTTAAATTGCATAATAGAAGTATAGAACAATAATGCTTTTGTTCTTTAGGCTTCTCTAGCATTTTGGTTGTTCAGGAGAAAGTAAGAAATATATGAATATCCTGTACCTGGGCAAGTGATGAATTAAGCCTTTTGATTGCTAAATCCCGTTATTTCTATTGCCCCTATCTTTTTACCCCCATTTCCTTTATCTTTCAAACTTTCATCCTTTGTGACCATCATCAAAGCTTTTTCTCAAATTGCACACCCTATTTGGACTTTGGAACATCTTGCATCAGCTAATGAATATTTTATATTCTGAAAGATGGTTTTTGAGGCAATAGAAATGGATGCCTGCTATCTTTTTGCAATCTTTCCCATCTAATATATTCTAGTATTTTTGTATCTATGGTCTTATTAAAGTTTGCCTACTTATGGTAATTTGTGGGCTTACATCAATTCTAAAGATGTATCAGAGCAATTGTTTGTGTTTGTAGAAGATATTGATGTTGAATGATGAATGACAATATTACTGAAATGGTAATTAGCATGCAGTTATTTGAAACTTTTGTCTCTGATGATTACTTGTTCTCTTGCATCTTTCAATTCGTAAGATCAAATATTTTAAAACATGGAGGCATGATGCAAGGCATTCTACCATCCTAAGGTGTGAGGCATAAGCATCCTGAACATGGATTTAATTAATAGATTATTAAAATAAGATATTAAATAAAAATAGGAAATTTTATGAGAAATTAAAAAGTTTCATATTTGCAATTTCTAATAAAGAAACCATTACATTTAAATATACAACTGAAATATCATTGCGTTAAGTAACATCATTCATAATTATACAAGTACGCCTTCAGTACCTTTCAAAAAGTTGCTGAACTTGTTTCAAAGGTAAGAGCATATGAGGCATATGCCTCCCATATAAAGCACAACAAAGGTGTATGCTTCAACCATCTCTATGACTCTAGGCGTGTCTCCAGGTGTATGCCTTCTCATATCTTTCAAAAAGTTGCTAAACATGAAAATAATTTATACATAAGAGACTGGTGGTGACTAGTCAATGGTGAATCAGAGAAGCACCAATAATTTTCCACAAGTAGTTGGCTGAAAAAATCTTTAGATGTCAATTTGATTATAAATGGAATTGAAGTATCTATCTACCATATTGACAGAAGGGAGCATTAAATGTATATGCATTTTTTGTTTTTAACTGTTCATCACAAGATATAAAGTTACATCTTAATCTTGTATCTACATTCCCTCCTTAGAAAATGTTCATTTGTTGTAGTTCATGGTGTCAGATGTTCTTCAAGTATGCCAGTGCACTTATCCATACAGTTAGGATAGGCTGATAATATCTATTTGTTCTCCAAGACTAATATTTCAATCTTCCTAATAGAGATCTATTTGTTCTACAAAATTAATATGTCAATCTTTCTTTCTACTTTATAATGATAAATTGCAGACGGGCTTTTCAGATTTTAGATTTGAGTTTTTGAATGGCCTCAACAATGACAGAAGTCATTTATCAAAAATAACAATGACAGAAGTCACAACCTTCTGTCATCCAAGATAGTTGTTTCAAATTGGGGCCTATTCAATTTGGTTTTTTAAGATTCTGATCCCAGAGTAATTATATGGTATTTTAAGATTCTAAAATTGGGGCCTATTCAATTTCAGAAGATCATATGCCAACACTTGAGATAAGTACTCTTGAATACAGTCTTGTTATAAGTCAAACTCAAATTTGACATCAAGAAAAGCTATGCCATAACAAGTACATCAAATCCTACATGCCTTCTATGATCTATATGAACAACTAAAAAGGTATCATTTAGTGATGCTACCGCTATAATAGGTTACTGCTTAGCCTGAATATTGCTATGCATTTATAATTTAAAAGAAAAGGAGCGTGACCCATATGTTCTGAATGTTTGCTCTTTGGGCTCCTTTTTTGCCAATCAAAATATTTATGAATTTATGATTGCTCAGTTTCTGCTATTAAAAACAAAAACGAGGGAGAAGGAAACCCAGGCTAGTAGTGTAAAGCTATATTAGATATTCTGGTTGGCTATATAACTTATTATAGAAGTTATAGGGGGAGTTTCTGAAGGGATGAGAGATCCATCCCATGGACGCCCAAAGATTGCGGAATAAGGGGCGAATTTCAAAAATTTTTCTCTCCCTTCAACTGGGAATC